CATTGTAAATCTGCAGACATACCGCTGTTTCACTGGGGGTCATTAGGTTAGGATTTTTATGAATGTGAGGTATTTTTGTTTTTCAGCACAAAGGTACAATGTGGGCTGTCTCTGTTCTGTCCACCACTGGGAATTGAACCTCGGATTTTAGCATTGTATGTTAACAAACTTACTGCTAAGCTATCGGAGGCCCGTGAACGTAAGTAAAGTCCTAGGATAAATTATACAGTAAATTATTGAAATAAATATAATACAGAAGTGAGGTATGTTAACTAAGAGAATTCGATAACTAGTTCAATAACATAGATATTATTTTACACAGTTTATATAAATAATACGCTTGCGTTTGTCTGTCCGGTATTTTTCTCGCAGATTTCTCGATCAAACGCTACAAATCGTTAGAAAGACCTTTGTCCGAGGAATAGGGATTGAATATTGGCTTTTTAATTCAGAATCACCTTACTTGTGTTTGGCTTAGTCAAACTTTTCGATGCAAGGAGTATGGTACACGATGGCACAATGTCGTTGTTATCACATGATGAATGGCTTCTATTTCAACTTTAGTTTTTATTATTTGCAAAGTATTTCACACAAACAACACTTAACCCACGTGTAATTTCCTAAAAAAATCAACATTACACTAAATATAATTTCTATGGGCTTTCTTGACTTATTCAGGTCTAAAACATGCATGCGCAGTTCGTTCAAAACCATATGCTTATCACTTTGTGAACACGAATTCAGACGTTTCTGTATATTTAGCTAAGTTTGCCTTCTTTACAACTTTACATTTACTTTATTTTGCAATAATTTAGCTTCGGTTCGTTTCATAGACTGCTATAAACACCTTTAAGGTATTTTTTTTAATACAGGTTTTATTCTTCCTTTTTTGTGAGTTTCTTTGTTTGAACTTGTAAAACCATGTCATACAATGAAGGTTAATAACTGTTTCATATAACATTATAAATATTATAATAACATTATAAATAACATTACTATACTTTATTGTTTACTTTACGTGTAGTTGTAATTAATAAAGTTACATACTTGTAGTTTTATTAAATAAAGTATGTCTACATGAGTTTGTTTGACCGACCACTTAAAATTTTTAGCTGTGGCATAGCGGCTCATAGAGCGGCTCTGAGTTTTTTTTTTAAGTACAAACTTTTAGTTCATAGCTCCGTCATCTCTTGACCGGTTTGAGATCTAATTACAGTTTTAGACTGAGGAGGTCAAACCCTTTCGATTGATGTATTTGACCAAAGTCTCATAGATTAATTTACTCTAATCCAGCCTAAAAAAATTCAAGTGCCGCGGCTATTGAGGATTTCCTCTTCTTCAAATAGACCAGAATTTATCGATCTAACACATAATGCCTAGAAGAAAGCGTAGCTTAAATGGCGTGCGTGAAAATGATAGAATAAGGAAAATTCAAGCGAAGGGAATGAAAACTACCGCAAATGTTTTGCGGGTCGTGGCTAGTCTAATAAAGAACAATGTATTGGTAGTTCAACATTATATACACTGTTTAAATATTTCCTGTGTCAAGTAAAGAACAGTGTATTGGTAGTTCAACATTATATACGCTGTTTAAATATTTCCTGTGTCAAGTAAAGAACAGTGTATTGGTAGTTCAACATTATATACACTGTTTAAATATTCCATGTTTAACACAAAGAACAATCCAGGTGATAAATAAATTACATTGTTTAAAATAGAGGTCTAAAAAGTGAAAAAAATCCAATTTTTCATAAAGGTGCTCATCATCATCAGGATAAAAATCTAAGTCCTTGGTGCAACATTTTATTTAGTAGTTTCAAAGTCCCAGTGTAACGTACAGCTTAGCTGCTTATCTCAATAGTAGTTTCAAAGTCCCAGTACAACGTAACAGAATAGGCTTAGCTGCTTATCTCAATAGTAGTTTCAAAGTCCCAGTGCAACGTAACAGAGCAGCCTAGCTGCTTGTCTCAATAGTAGTTTCAAAGTCCCAGTGTAACGTAACAGAATAGGCTTAGCTGCTTGTCTCAATAGTAGTTTCAAAGTCCCAGTGTAAAGTAACAGAACAGTATAGCTGCTTGTCTCAGTAGTAGTTTCAAAGTCCCAGTGTAACGTAACAGAATAGGCTTAGCTGCTTGTCTCAGTAGTAGTTTCAAAGTCCCAGTGTAATGTAACAGAACAGCTTAGCTGCTTGTCTCAATAGTAGTTTCAAGGTCCCAGTGTAACGTAACAGAACAAGCTCAGCTGCTTGTCTCAGTAGTTTAGATATTCTTATAGAAAGCAACAAGAGAGTCTAGATATTCATTTCCATCTCTCTATAATACATCCTTATAATATTAATTTTCTTATGTCGTCTGCTTAAGATATTTACCTTACACAAACAAGTGAAATCTGGTCATTAATTTCTACTTCGTAGGATCAGGTTGCTCCTGTGTTAGAGCTCTGGATTTCGGGGAGGACAAATGGGTTCAAATCCATGTGATACTACAAACAATTCCTCGTACTTTAAAGTCTGAGTGCGTTATAAGAGTGACCGTTAATCCCTTATTGTGCTGCTGCTAACTGACTGCTTTCCCGTTTGGTCAGTAGTTCGAAATTAGGGAGGACGACAGATAACTTTATTAGCCTTCCCACAAATACAAAACACAAATTATACATGGAAGATGTAACAGAAATATGTTTTGTCAGCTGTACGTATATCAAGAAGAAGAAGGTTTACGATTCTTACCTGTTTAAGATATTTTTATTTCGACCACTGCACGTTGCTGTTGAGAGTATAAAGTTATCGGTACATCTATCTTTTGAAGCGTCTTAATAGAAAATGGGTCGATTTTATCTAAACCTGTAAATTCAGATAATTTTCTTTTCCAAAAGTCTTGAAAAAAATCGTATTTTTCCTGGTCTTGTTAAGGTCACGAGAACGACATTTTCAGTTAAATATATATATATATAGACATCTTTATGGCAATAACAAAAAATGTTGTTTAATGAAATGGAACTATCATAGCAACATACGGGAAACGGCAGCAGTAGGAACACTGAAACTCGGACAAGAAATCCATAGAATATTTCGTGAAGTAACTAGAATGGGGAGGAACCCCCATAATTCTTTTGGTGTATATTTCTGAAATGACAGCACCAGGAAATGTGAAACATGGACAGAAAATCAGCAGGATGTCCTAGCAAACGTTCGCAAAGAAAATCGGAAATTGGCGGGGGGCTGAAATCAAATTAGTTCCCCATACACGCACGCATATTTTGCTTTATGCCATTCAACTAGAAGGCCCTGAAAAAGTTTGTTGAAGAAAACAGCAGGTGGGACGGGGGCAGTGTTGATGGAACAATAAATCAATGGCTTCGTCTAAATCATTTGCTTAAAGTATTGGTATTTTCTGCACTTCCAGTTGACTTTTATTATTGTGGTACCAACGAATAGTAGGATTGACCGTCACGTTATAACGCCCCCCCCCACGACTGAAGGGGCGAGCTTGTTTGGTGTAAAGGGGATTCGAACCCGCGACCCTCAGACTTGCGAGTCGAGCGCCCTAACCACCTAGCCATGCCGGGCCTGACCATTGTGTAGCTTTGTGCTTAATTACGAAGAAACAATCACAACTTCAAACTGATGAAAATGAGCGACCTCTAGCGGCCCACCGAATACTCCTTATGCGAGTACGAAAGTACAGGAAGAACTAACAGTCATATGACTGAAAAATACGTGAGAAGCGTTTCGGTAAAGTTTAAAACCACTCCTGCTCCCATAAATAATGTCATAAGCTCAGCGACTAATTAACAACTTTTAGTCTGACACAGGAATTCTTATATACATTGAGATACCGTATATGATAAGATAAACTGCAGATATGAATCATAGCGTATACTGTTTTTTAGCAGTACAAGGCGGATTAAACCCTTATACAGGTTTAGTTGGAAAGTTAGATAACCTCAAACAAGCGTTATAAAAGGGTAGAAAGGTGTGAGCATAGATAAAACATACACCAACGAATACTGTGAGGTCAGCCTGTTACATCAATTGGTGTTAGAAAAATTTTTGTAAATAAATAATTTTGTAAGGGCGATACGCCATCTGGCGAAATAAAAATTTTCCCAAGGCGAGCAAACTTAGGATTGGTAGAATTTGACTTCGGTTGACTTAATCGTGGATTCAAATCTCGTCCAATTTAACTTTTTTTTTTACTTCTTCAGAAGAATTGTAAAAACAAAAAAAAAGTCGTTCGTATTACTTGGAAATATATTTTTAGTTAATAGAAATATGTTTTTTTATTAGAAACATTACAAAGAAAGGCCGTTTTTTGAATTACTTGGAGTTCTGATATGTTTCAAATCTTAAAAATATGGATTTTTTATTAACTCCTCTAGGAGGCCAAGTGTGGATAGCGTGTCGAAATACAGGTTACTGGGTCCAGGGATCGAGACACTGTGCCTCTGAACATACTCTGCACATTCAGCAGTGTGTTGAATAAACTACTCGAGGATATCTGTGCTAACAGTCTCTAATTTTCAATGTGCAGACTAGAGGAAGGGCAGCTAGTCGACATCACCCACTGCCAAATGTTTGGCTATCCTTTACCAACGAATAGTGGGATTGACCGTCACGTTATAACGCTCCCACAATGGAAAGGATCCCCCCATTGGCACCGCGGTATATCTGCAGACCTACAGCGCTAGAAACCGGGTTTCGATACTCGTGCTGGGCAGAGCACAGATAGCCCATTGTGTAGCTTTGTGCTTAATTTCAAACAAATAATTGAAAGGACGAACATATTCGATGACAGTATTCGATCCCGCGACCTGCAGATTAGGAATCGAGCGCCCTAACCATCAGGTATGCCTGATCATACTACAAAAGTGAATCAGTCGTGTTATTCGATTCAGAGAGACAGACAAAGCCCTTGTTGTGGCGAGTACTACTGACTGACCAATTTGAAAATTGCAGTTACAGTATCAATAAGTAGGAAGTGAAAAAATACGAATTCATTTGTTAGTTTTACATTGATTAGCCAGTATAAACACCAGTAAAAAAATAAATTATTCGAACTTATTCAGAAGTTATTCTTTGCATATTCTAAAAAAACTGTAACATTCTGCTTGTGTTCCAGGCAGGTTTCAGTTTTGATTCGTGTTGAATACTAGGCTGTTTCTTCTGTTTGAATTTCAACGTCACTTCTTCTTCTAACAGACGAAGTTGACACGAGAAATAGGCCGGAGATTTTTGTAGGTAACGATTATTTTCAACGAGAAATAGGCAGGAGATTTCTGTAGGTAACGATTAGTGTCAACGAGAAATAGGCAGGAGATTTCTGTAGGTAACGATTAGTAGTTTTAAAGTAGAGGGATCTGGGGATGACTTGATGGTGTTTGTAAGTTGTTATGTCAATTCAAACAGAAGAAACAGCCTACCACTCAACACGAATCAGCGAACAATGAACTAAGAAATAACGTATCACGGATCGACTACAACCACCTGATTACTAATACTAACAACCTCTATTTTTGACAATTATTCGCTACAGCTTAATTGATATTTCACTTGTAAACGCCACGTTCACAAGGCTTAAAGAGACATGCCACATTAAGCCGATTGTAGTCTAGTCGTCAGACTTCCTGATTCATGATTCGGGACCTGTTGCTGCTGAACGCTTTGGGGGCCATGAGTTCGCTATAAGAGTGACAGCCAAATACCTTTATTTGAGGAGAGAAGAGCTGAAAAAATTAGGGAGAAAGTCCTTTGTGTAGCTTCACACAACAATTTCAACACACAAAAAAAACAAGCACTTCTTATTAAAAAGAAAAGTAAAAATAGGTCAAGATACGTAATGAACGAATACGTCTCTAATAATGTTAATATACTCAAAGCGCTTTAACTACCATAGGCCTGTATAAAGGGTATCTTTCTATACAGTTTAAAGCGAACCACACCAACTGTTTCTGGTAATTAATTACAGATTTATTACGAAGGCTATTATTCATCTATGACAGAGTAAATTGCAGCAAATTCCATCAATACGTCGCTGTATGGTTATTATAAGATTCGCTATAAATATTTCACTCAGGATAAACTATTAAAAAATGTGTGTATTTTGATTTCAAATCAAAATAACTTGCGCAATTTTATTTTTCAGAGTCACAACTCCATTGAAAAAAAAAGGGGGGCCGGCATGGCCAGGTGGTTAGGGCGCTCGACTCGCAATCTGAGGGTCGTGGGTTCGAATCCCCGTCACACCAAACATGCTCGCCCTTTCAGCCGTGGGGGCGTTATAATGTGACGGTCAATGGCACTATTCGTTGGTATAAGAGTAACCCAAGAGTTGGCGGTAGGTGGTGATGACTAGCTGCCTTCCCTCTAGTCTTACACTACTAAATTAGGGACGGCTAGCGCAGATAGCTCTCGTGTAGCTTTGCGCGAAATTCATAACAAACAAACAAACCATTGAAAAAAATATATAGAAATATCCTTTATAAACTTATTTTCAAATAGTTTATTGCAAAACGAAATACTGGTTATTTTTTTATGTTTCTGAATAGTTTCAGTATTGAAGTTAATTATAATATGAATTTAAGCCTTTCTAATAGCTGTATCTCCTGTTATGGAACCGGTATGTTATGGCTGAAACGCATCAAACTACCTTACATGGCATATTGATATTGTCTAGCAGGTTAAACTTTACCAGTGAGATTATCAGACTAACTGGTGAGTCACAGCAAAATAAAAATAAACCAATGGTTCCCACACTGGGATCTAAGAGACGGTTTTCGGATAGGCCTCAGTATATGTAGAAATACTATCATTAAAACTACTTGTCACCAGACATTATTTTACTTATCACAATACGATAAATATAAAACTTTTTTTTGTTTTTTGTTTTTTTTTGCTTTTTTCAAAACATCAGATTGGTTAGCACTAACATTTCACAATGAGGAAGTCCTCAACTAGGGGCTCTAAGATGTTTGAGTGCCTCAAGCTAAAAGACTCTTGTTGTTGTTGTTTATTCTAATTGTTCTGGTACAATATTTGTTGTTTATTCTAATTGTTCGGGTACCATATTTGTTGTTTATTCTAATTGTTCTGGTACAATATTTGTTGTTTATTTTAATTGTTCTGGTACAATATTTGTTGTTTATTCTAATTGTTCTGGTACAATATTTGTTGTTTATTCTAATTGTTGGAGTACAATATTTGTTGTTTATTTTAATTGTTCTGGTAAAATATTTGTTGTTTATTCTAATTGTTCTGGTACAATATTTGTTGTTTATTCTAATTGTTGGAGTACAATATTTGTTGTTTATTTTAATTGTTCGGGTACAATATTTGTTGTTTATTCTAATTGTTCGGGTACAATATTTGTTGTTTATTTTAATTGTTCTGTTACAATATTTGTTGTTTATTCTAATTGTTCTGGTACCATATTTGTTGTTTAATAAACAACAAATATTGTACCAGAACAATTAAAATAAACAACAAATATTGTACCAGAACAATTAAAATAAACAACAAATATTGTACTCCAACAATTAGAATAAACAACAAATATTGTACCAGAACAATTAGAATAAACAACAAATATTGTACCCGAACAATTAAAATAAACAACAAATATTGTACCAGAACAATTAGAATAAACAACAAATATTGTACCAGAACAATTAAAATAAATCAAATGAATTCCTTTTTGATTCAACACTGATGTTCAGTTTATCGTGTTACTGATTGAGTTCGGTGTTTTTTTACCTCTTTGTCACCAGTAAACAGAAGGATACTTTTTTAAATTAAAGAGTCCTTTTAAAAGAATTTTGACAAGATAAGGGTATGCAGATATAACTTCACAGCTTAGTTATACAAAAGTAATAAGCATTAATTGCATTATAATTAAAGCCAGTCAACATTGAATGCTTAAAGATCAGAGAGGGAAATCAACACAGTCGCCATCTCTTGATACTATATATTATTATTAATCAATATTATTCAGGATAAGAACATCATTGTTCAAGAGAAACGGATATTATTAATATTTACGTCAGCACCAGTAATTATTAACGTTTATCATCAAACGATATGAAAATACATTAATATATTTGAATAAATAAAAATTGAGAAGAGTTTTGTGTGTTAGAGCTTGGACGTTATAACTAAATGATTAGTTTGTTAAAACTTCGCTATTTCAAACGAGTGGGAATTATATTCTTGTTTTTTCCAAAGCAATTCCATCCGTTCGAAAACCTTCAACTTCCAGCTTAAATAGGTTCTTAGGCAACTTATTCTAGAGTTGTATAACGAATAAGGAAAAGCTGAAAGCTAGAAAGTTTTTCAAATTAGTTCACTTGATTAACGTTTTGGAAAATATTTCTGTTTTAATAGGTATAGAATAAACAACAAATATTGTACCAGAAAAATTAAAATAAACAACAAATATGGTACCAGAACAATTAGAATAAACAACAAATATTGTACCAGAACAATTAAAATAAACAACAAATATGGTACCAGAACAATTAACTCTAGCTTTTTATATCGACAATGACTTAAGCCTTATTTTTCATTTTCTACTGACAACAGTGACTGTAGAATTAGTTTTGATCAATAAGAAATATAGGCAAACATTTGACAATGAGGAAGTCTCTACAATATTTTATGTAAAATAATTCACGAAATCTAAATTTGATTCCGTAAGGTATATTACAAGTTAATATTATTTTGATTTAATTTGGCTATCTCTAACGTACTAAGTTGACGTGATCTTGCTTAAGACATTTATATGCTGCTTTTCTTCTCCTCCCCCCCCCCTATTTTCGGGCAGGGTGGTTAAATGACGTCCCCCGGTGGGTCAACGATAAGTTTACGTAATTACAACGCTAATATCAAGGTTTGATTTCCGCAGTGGACACAGCAGACAGCTTAATGTGGCTTTGCTCCAAAAAACAGCCAACCAACCAGTTGTTAAGTCACAGAGTTTTTGTAGTGGTTAAAATGTATCACTGTTTCAGTTTTGTATTATGTTATATATTTAAGGAATTTGTTAATCGCTATGATATTTAAGGATGCCAGTTGATAGCTAATATTAACACGAAGAATAGTTACAAACGACAGTGTTGAAGAAAGTGAACACGTACACTTGAAGATATATATGAACCTTATTGAAAAATGAATGCTATTTTAAATAGTATAGTACAACTTAACTTTTCAATGCCGCCCGATAACTCAGCGATAAGCTTAAGGACGTAGAAGGTTTAGATTTGGTATTGTATCCCTACTATGCAGTAAATACAATTAAGGTTTAAAATAAACTACAAGTGTCTAGTTCAATATAACTCTATTTTCAACATATAAAAAGTCTATTAATAATTCTGATTTTCACGCGCTTCACATGTTTCAAAGTTACTTCATTGTATGTTTTTATTTGCCCCCCTCTATATTTTTTAAGATTATTAGTTGTTACTGGTTTCGTAGGAAACCTATTGTCGCTCGACTCGAAATCTGTGGGTCGCGAGTTCGAATCCTATCACCGAACATATTCGCCCTTTCAGCCGTGAGGGCGTTATAACGTCCTATCAATCTCACCTTTCGTTGGTAAGTCACTATTTATCGTTGTTATATCGTTTGTGTGACACTATCTACTGTTGTCATATCGTTTGTGTGACACTATCTACTGTTGTTATATCGTTTGTGTGACACTATCTACTGTTGTTATATC